GAATAATGATTGCATCTTATTAAAAAGAGGAACATACCTAGGTTCTGTAACGTCACTTGAGAAAACCCCCAGAGTGTTTGATTTCATTTGAAGTATCTAGCAACAGTTTTGTCAGTACATTTTGGGGCAAGGTAACTTTAAATATATACAAAATAATAAAAGGTGCTGTAATCATTGGGCGTATTATAATTTAATCAAATCTAGTCCTATGTTCATTGATTATTATTATTACTTAGTGAGTAAGGCTCCCAAGTAACTATCCTTACTAGTTAGTCTTACATTTCTTTTTTTAAGGGCATGGTTTAAAGTATTTTGAAAAAACATCTACTCTTGGTAACATTTGCAAAGTTAGCACTTGAATTTGTTGACAAACCTTTTGTAATTTTACAGTTTGTTTGCAGAGTTTCCCCGCATTTGCCTTATTTACCAAGACATATTCCTAGAAGTTCTTGGTATACCACAGTGGACATTTAGCTGACATTTGTAACCTGTAACCTGTAACAATGGAATTTCCACACCTCTCGTCGACTAAAACTGAAAGTCTACAAGGGCAAACCCCTAACCTCTTCTCTACAGAAAACAGCAGCGACATGCAGTAAGTAGAACAGCTTCAATAAAGTTTGACCACAAAGTCTCGTTCTGTGCAAGCTGTCAGCCGGTGATGGCTTTGTCTAGTCAGAGATCTCAAAAAACCCTGATCACCCAATCTTAAGGGTAGATTTAAGATAAAGGATATACAAAGACCTGTGTTGGTGTAAAAAAGTAACATGGTGTTCACGCAGCTGATAATTTTAGTGTCAGAGAGCCTTCCTCATGTTGCTACTATGGTTGTAATCTTAAACCACATTTTGAAGGAAGACTACTTAAGTGTTGTTTGTCGGCGCTGATACAAGGCGGCCATTTTCATATACATTTAACTCTCTTGAACATCTTTGGATAGCTCTTTCAATTTGAAGTACATTTTAACTCAACTTGTAAAAAGAACTTGAATTAACGGAAGTCAAACCATAGCAAGTGCTTTGAGGAGAAAATAACTTTCTTTCAAGGAAACAAATGGCCTCTCACTACCTGCTGAGTCACAGTCAATAAATCACAAAAACAAAAGAGAACACAGAATAGAGAAAACAGAGTCTTCTCTATTCATTATTGTGTTGTCAACAAAGAGTGTATTTAGGGTGATCTGTTCTCAGGAATATAATATAATATTCATAACTATATTTTATTAGTGTTTAATCACCTGTAAGAAAGAACCATGGTGTATGAAAAGGAGCCTTTCATATCTACATCCAGATCCGGTCCTTTACCACAGAGACATGTTAGTAGCTCACAACAGAAAAACAAAACTCTGGCTCTAGGAAGCGGCTTTCATGTTTCATTTAATCTAAAGGCGTCAATATCTTAGACAGAGATTTATACACATCTAAAAAAGACAGAAGAGCTGTAATAACAAACCAATCGACAAGCTACATTTATTTCAATAATTGTGTATTGTTGTTGTCATTTCAAGAAATTATAGAAAATGCTGTTTTCTCAGCCTATAATGTTAATGTCCTATATCTGTATATTATAATACTTTGAATATCTTCAACCCTATTAGCTACAGCCCTGCAGCAGCTATTCTTCCTGGCGTCCAAAAACAGACTTAATAACAAAGCAACCATTAGCAAACAAGATGTGGATGGACAGGTTTTGTGCCAAAACAGAATGGATGTGCATGTCTTTGTTAGGCCTGTTTTTTTAGATGAAATGTGCAGTTATGGTACCATATCCTGTCATGTGCCTTCTGTCAGCTGTCACTGCTCTCCACCCTAACCCATTAGCTAGTCACTCAAAAATACATAAAAAATGTGTCCACAGTGAATCCAGAGATAATAAAAGGAATATACCACAGTATGATATAATCTCTAACAATAATGTATTCTGTATTTAAAAAGTCAGCTGACGACTAATATAGCAAAGAAAAGCATGTGTTGTTACACAGTTTCACATGCACATATATTTGCAAATCCTCTCTTTCAATCAAAGACATGCTCATGTTGGATGTGAAAAGATAAAAGAAGTCGCAGTCTCAGAATCAAACAGGATCCAGATGTGTCACAGACCATTGTACTAGTATTAGATGTTAACGCTATTACTATAATTGTTTGTAAAGGAAAGGGTGTGTCCTCTGAGGGGTTACTTGAGGAGGATGGTTGCATACACGACATGGATCTGTGGTGGATGCTGAGGATGTCAGGGGTCGATGGGGGACATGGTACATTTTAGTTTAAGGACATGTGTTGACCCTCAGAGGTCTAAACCCTTTTTTGTATATGTTTGGTTCGCCTGGTATTCTTGTGTAATGATGCATGTATAACCTCAACCCTGAAAGGCATAATCAAGTAGTATACATATTTATTTTCAGGAAAAACTCTATCAGCATATAGGCTACAAGGATGTCACATTAAAGCAACCTGTTAAATGAATGCACCCATGTGTGTTGCTAAAATGATAGCTTATCACCTCTAAATAACCCGATGACAGCTAGGAGCCACCGTGACAACATCCTCGGTTGTAATAACATGATATCGACATCTGTATTATACCATCAACGAACACTAATGTCTGAATTAACTGTGAGATGTGTCACATTACATAATGTATTCGTGCGCAGAACCAACATCAAACCCTTTTGGTATATAGAGTAAAAACCATGAGGGAATTTATCGAAAACCTTTGAATTGAATTAATATTCATGTCAGTGCGTTAAAGAGACACAACAAGGCAGTAATCCTCATCGAGAGGAACAGGCTGAGAGGAGAGGGGCTAGGCCTGCCGTGATGTCCGCTGTGTGTTAATGTTAACAACATATACCATGTTACGGGAACACAAAACAACGTTAAGATACAGTAAAGGCTGAATAATAACAGTGACATGATGTTATAACACCCCTTCCTTCCTGTCTTATATGCTACAGCATCAACCCCTGCGATGGCTAATGTGCTTACCGGACAGTTCGTCGGGTTCCAGCCCGCTTTCGGTGTCGAGTCCGCAGATCACAAAATAATCTGCGAACCGGCAGGAGCAGGAGCTGAAGCCGGTGGTCATTTTGAGACTGGTCCGGTGGTCCTCTTTTACCCCCAACAGGAAGCATATTAAAGGAACTCGGAGAAGTGATTTCTGTCTGCCATCTCGTAGGAGATGCTACGTTTCTGCGAAGCTCTAAAATCAGTACCGACAGTAAGCTAACCTGCTGCTACCAGGAACGGTTACCGTACATCCGGCCGCCATCCTTCACAATAAAACACAATCTTCACAAATATAGGCAAGACATTTAAAATAAACTTTAATTTTGCACCATACATACTGTGCCACTATTAGCAATACCTTTACATTTAGTCGTATTCTATGTTGCTTACTGGACATTATGATTGGTTTGAAGTTGTTTTTCTGTAGGCCATCTTGAAACTGTGAGAAATGTGGCCTCTGACTAAAACATTTAGCCTACTATAATTCAACTATAATTATTTTGCCGAAGGATTGTTATTCTTGACGAAATTACCTTTAACTATGTGTTGAGTCCCGTAAGGCTGCGATGTGTTAAAAGATTGCATAATATTTTTGAGGAAATTTGCTATAGTATCACATTTCTTTCACCCAAAAACTATAGGCCTGTAAAGGTTGCCATATTTGTAAAATGTATAACGAGTTAAACTTTTGATCTATTCTGTTAATTTAGTCCACTGAGATGTGTTGTCCAGCTCTTGTTGTTGAAACTAATTATTGTTTTACTTTGAAGAAGGTATTCATTTACTTCCTGTTTTGTTCTCTGCTTCACACATCAGAAAAATCAGAGCGTTGCAGTCGAAATGCATTGTGGTCCATCAACAGCACAACAGCTGTAATCATCTCCCTTTAAACCAAAAAGTAACATTAGGATAATATTGTTTGTGCATAAATGTTTCTTAACCTGATCTGCCGCTAGTACAGTCATAGTTATTGTGCTCTCAATTCGATGATGCACTTTTGATGTTTTTAGTTTCACACACATATAGACCTACATATAAAAGTAAAAAAGTATATATAAAAATACATGCACACCCAAAATACATACATGGTCAAATATAAACATTTACCAGTAGTTTAAATATTATAGTGTCACACAAATTATGAAATTCAGTGACCTTGTTAAAGACCTGCAACCTGTTATTTTCAAGAGTTTATCGTCAATCAGAAGCATAACATTTGACCCTGCAATGGTTTTCAATAACAGTGCAGTTTATCTGCAATTTGTTTACAACAAACAATTGTGCAATAATGTTTATTAAGTCTTTGTCTGATTGTCCAGTTCACAAAAGGTGAGGTTTATACTTTAGTACAAATCAACACATTTAACCAACGTGTATTGTAAATCCATGACATTATTCTACAGATTCATCAACATTTCAAGTTTTTAGTTTTAATTAAAAAGAAAAAACAGTTTGGTCATTTCTGTTAATGTTTAGTTTTACTAAATGCATTCACTGTGTAAATCCCTTAACTGACGCATTTTATAAGTGATCAGACATGCGCCACACTGTTGTCAAATATCACCACATGGCGGCACTAACCTCACTTTTTTTCTGTCAGGCTGATATGTATGCTGCTGTAGAAATGGTTATGTGGTACTAGGTTTTATAAAAGAAATTAAAATGTCAGTTTCCACCACTCTTAAAAGTCAATGATGTTCTGTAAAGATAATTTTAATGATTTACTAAATATAAAAAAAACATAAACTCAATTAGGTCGGTAAACACTTAATACTGGAATACATTACTGTTCAGTCAGAAATAATATTGCTTTTTGAAATGTTAACAGAGAGCTATACAGAATTATTTCACTATATCTTTGGAGTAATAGAACAAAAAAAAACATTCATATATCCAGTTTGAGTAAATGTTTTGGTAAAGATTTAAATAATATAGCATATTGAGAAGTAAAATCTATTAAAATCTATCATCTTCCATGTCTTTTCAAGAACATTTGTTGGAGAGATTAGTCGTTTTTTAATCAATTAATTTCACCACTTAAAGATGCAATTTTCCAATTATACGATATAACTTTAGTTGTACAATGCAGCACCCTCTCAAAACAGTAAGAAACATAAAAACAGCCAAACAGTCTTTGAAAGAAGTAGCACTCAGTAAAAAAGCAGAATATGCTACGACATTAGTATCCCCATACAGTAGAACCATTTAAAATTCACATGAATTGAGGTTTATGAAACTGGGCTTGAGAGGTTAATAATCTGACAGTAGTACACACTATATAACAAAGTAAAAACAGGAAATCTCAAAATGCACTTATGTGCATACATGTGATGTTTTACGAGATTTAATAAAAATGTGTTGGAATAAGTTACCATAATGTACATTCACTGCATCAACGTCTCTAGTAAACATCCAGAGTGTTTTTAAGCAGCAGCAATAGGTTACAATGGTACACAGGCACAACAATAAATCAAAAATAAAACCATTCAGTTAGCTTGTATAGGAAAAAGTAATTCAAAACAATTTAGGGAAAACTCAAAAATCAGTAATTCAAAACAATTTAGGGAAAACTAAAATCAGGCATATTATATTTGAAGAATGGAAGAAGTAAAAAGCAAGATAGGGCTCGGCAGCTCAGCCTGTTGGCAGTCTTACTGAGGGCACTATAGTTACCTAGGATACCGGTGCATCAAACACTGGTGCCCTATCCACGGTGCAGACATCTCAATTTCTGCTGCCATAGCAAACAATTTCATGGGATAGCGAAAGACACAACTAGTGATGTGATCATCAACATATGCGTAACAATTGAACCCAAGATGATGTTGGCTTTTGACTAATTTCTCTGCATTGCATACATCTTTGAACTCATAAATCTGTTGTGTTGAATTTATGTTCATTTCTTAGTTACTCATTTGAAATGGGAAATGCTTGGAGTTTGGCATACTACAATACAGAGGTCCAGTAAAAACAATATTACATCAGATTAGTCCATTCATTAAAAGTCAGCCAAAATGAACAACAAATTGTGAAATGTGTGTGGATCCAGGCACCTTTTAAAGAACAGGAAACTCACCCCGTGCCACAGAAATAGCACTTACTAAGATCAGACACACACCTTCCTTCTCTAGTTTCACTCTCTCTTCACGCTGCATACGCTCACCAAGGCCAGGTATCCGAGCTTACTATTTAAAAACTAAAATCCACTTTTAACAGTATTGTGACAGTTATTGCTGTATTATCACTTTATTATTATAATATTAGTATTTTAAAAATAAATATTAAAAAGGGAGTGGTAGTTAAAAGGTGCTACAAACAGGATGTAGAAAGGAATGCGCTACTTTCAAAGCAGATGCGATAGTAAAAGTTCCAGTAATTTAAAAATGTGGTGTCCGCAACAGACTCGACAAGGTACTGATGACGTTGTTTATAGCAGTCTTTTCCCTTGAAACTTATCAGAACGAAGAGTTTTACTCCAACATCCTATGGGTAGCACCTTTAATTGTCTGGCAAGAATCATAAAACAATGAACAGCAACTTAAATAAAAACACAAAGCTAAATTTAACTAATTTACAAGATGTGCCAAAATCAAGAACATCCTTCACAAAAACAAAAGAAACGTGTGCAGTCAGCGGCCATTTTACATTTAACATCAGGAGCAACCCACCACTGCATGCATTGAGTGGTGGACGAATGCTTGTGATCGGAGGTTCCACCACCGGCAGCTTTGTATGAGACGGAGGCGGGGCAACTTGAGTGACAGCTGCACGTTCCTGAGCCGAGGGCAAGGGAATGCCGGGATCAGCCAGCAGATGAGTTGCTGAAGTGTATAATCTCCTACTCTAGTTTCTTCTGCAGCTTTTTCTGGAAGCAGACGGGCAAGATGGAGAGCACGGCGAGGACACCGAGCACAGCCAGGGAGTTCCAGGACACGGCCTCGCCTGCTGTGGTAAGCTTGTACAGTGTTGTACCGGCGTTGATCGCTACAAAGGAGGGCGGGGCCACTCCTGTGGATCAGCCAGGGGGAATTCAGGTCAGTCAGTGAATAAAAATCATACAGCAAATCATTTATAGACAGTCAGAAGGGATGGACATACTTACCAAGAAAGGTACCGAGGAAGAAAACCCCCAAAGGCACGTTGATGACAGGCGAGGTGATGTTGATGAACCAGTTGGGAAGGAAGGGGGTGATCCTCAGGAAGATGATGTAATTAATTAAATGATCTCGATGTTTGTCGACCTGCCAGCAAAAAGTGAATGTATAGTTAGTCATATGCTTTACATTACCAGTAAATACTATTTGTGAAGTCAGTATGAGGACCCTTGTCGTTCTCGCATCTCAAGTTACTAGTTAAGTACAAAACCAGTATTTATTTTTTGATTAAACCAGCTTCTGCCTCCATAATATAAAAAATTAAAATCTTCACATGGATTTACAGCACAGCCGTACTTTTAGACTGCATTAGTTTGGACAATCTTGCCTAATAATGAATAAATATTAATATAATTCGAAAGATCCCATACTGAAAATTCCTCTTTCCAACATAGCCTTTATAAACAATACATTGCAAGGCTCTTACCTGCTGGGACCATTTCTTTGCTCTCTCTGTGAGATATTTGTAGACAATGGGTCTGCCCACCAGATATGATAGCAAATAGCAAAAGGAAGCACCGAGACCAGAGCACTGCCAACGGATAAAAAACAGAGCAGAAAAAAAATTGGTTACTTACACACACATATCTGTAACCTGCTTATAAATATTGTCATACTCTTGAAATAAAAAAGGAAAAAAACACATTGTACCCCATTTTAAATGTAGCCTCTCCAAATACATGCATCTTCATCTTGCACCATTTAATTGTTGTTTTAAATTGTATTCATAACTTTTAGCAGTGATGTTGAACACACAGTTAGTAGTTTCAAAGACAGGGCTGAGGGACCCCGTGTTGTCACCCATTATTGGTGCCCTTCCTGGTTGTTGCAATCAAAACAGAGTGGATGCAACAAATACACGACATGTTGCACACATCCTGTTGTACTTCCGGAGGCTGCTTCCATATTGTTTTTCGTGACTTCACAGACTCTGATTTTGTGCATTTATCACATTTGAAGGTAGAACATTTCTTAAAAAATATTAGCACAGCCGATGCATAGGTATTGTTTAAGGACCTTCACACTGTAGTCTGCTCCAATGACGGCCGGATTAAAATGATGACTCCATTGACAAATATATTAAAGAAGTATGTTTATGAGACATGATCCATTCTTGCAAAAGAGAGCATGTTGATCTACATCCCTACATACCAAAGTGTGTCTCGTGGAAACTATTTCAGTGCAAAGTTGCTCATACAATACAACATTTGTTTTTAATCCCACATTTCATACCACCCTTGCTTACTCACCAAGCAGACTAAGAAAAGAGCCAAGGGGAAAGGGTAAAGATATCCAGACAGGATGCTGAGGAAGATAGATCCTGGGATTGCAAATGTCTGGAGGCTGAAAGAAGCGTCAAGGTAAACAACTTTGCAAAACATTAAGTTATTACTCAGGCAGACTACAAACTATCCCTGCAGTGCAAACCAGACTGTTTTTGAAGATCCACATTTCATCAGGGTAGTTTTAAAAACATCCTCACCAGACAGATAAGCTAAGTAAAGATAAGTAGGTAGAAACATAGATTCTCAAAGGATACAAAATATATGTTGCGAAGTAGGCCACCAACACTTGGGAGTAGTATGTGTCTTTGTATTTAGACAGCACAGTACCCAAAGCCTTGGCATCCTCCATGTCTTTTGGTATCTTGATTTTCTCCATTTCATCACTGAAAAATACGAATTATAATCGTTAATCAAGCATACTTCACAGAAAACATATTTTATTTTATTTTTTCACAACACAATGGACATTCAAAACCCGATCGCTGCAGTCACCTCTGGATTTTGAGTATCATGTCAATTAGTAGCTGGACTTTCCATTGGATGACCTTACCTACTGAGTCTAAATCATGTTCTTTGACAAGACGTTATAGTAAAAGAAACTATAAACAAATCACAAAATGTGTTACACAGCATGAAATTGATTGGTTTATGGAACCATTTATTGTTGTAAGTCTATTATTGCCAATCTGTCAGTTTACATTGCTGGCCCTACTGGTACTGAAAATGACAAAGTAGTGTATCCTCCACTTAAGAGGCAGCAGCATTGAAAATGTTTATGACAAGTGGAAAAAAAAAAATAACAATTTAAGTGTAACTTAAAAAAAAGATTAGATTACATTTCATCATTTTATTTCCTACAGTACTAATTATGAATACTTACTAAGTCTTTATTTCCATTGTTGAACAATTCCCCACCATCATTTAACCGAGTTTAATAATCAACAAAACAACTCACTCAGGAAGCTCTGGGAAGTTCCTGTAGACCAGGTACATGACAGAGGCAGCGAACGTGAAGATGGACACCAGAATCAGGAGGGACATGCGTGCTGAGCCCCCTTCAGCGTGCGTAACCTCTGTAGGGAAAGAGAATAAGTTACTTAACAACTAAATCAAGATGATCCTTCAGAAAATGACTAACTAGCTACCAGGGAGCAGTGTGTAATAAACTAATGAGTTTTGCATCACCTGTTCAGGCCCCTACAGGGAACTCAGTAGCCCCCTTGAGAAAGACTGTTTCTGAGCGTGTCTCTAAATTCATTGCTTCATTAAATACTTGATGGAAAAAGGCCAACTGTATACAATGAATTTATAAATTCTGATAGAATAAGTTATAGATTACAGTTTATCAAATTGTTCGAATAAACTGCATATCAACCAATTACAAAAGGCAACTGCTACATACTAATGCATCAGCAAAAAATAATATAATAGTACAATTTAGACTTGAATGGGGCTACTTTTCAGCATCGACTACATTTATTACAATTACGAAATATCTGACTAACTGTTGTAATGCAAGTGCAGTTTATGGGTTAGGCATTGGTGTAAAGTAACTAAGTATTTTTTACTCAATTTTGAGGGACTTGTACTTTACTTGAGTATTTTAACTTTTTGCTACTTTGTACTTCTACCCCAATACAAATGTAGAGGTATATCGTGTACTTTTACTCGACTAAATGTATTTAATACCTTATGTCACAGATTTGGATTACTAATGTAAAATATGATCAACACTTAAAAATACTTAGTTAAATTCAGAAGCTACCCTGCAGTATACAAAGTAATGAAAGTTACACGTTCATCAGCTTTGATAACAATTAAAATGATTAATCTAAATAACATTATAAATTATTCTGAAATGGGCTGACCTAAATAATTAGTTTTTTTTTTACTTTAAGTATATTTTGATGACAATACTTTTCTACTTTTACTTGAGTAACATTTTGAACGCAGGACTACCTGTAAAAGAGTATTCCTAGTATTTCCTGGTACTTCTCTGGGGTTATGGTTAATGTGTTGTTGTAGGACTAGTTTGGTTTATCTGAATACAGGATCTGAACACTTCCCCCACCACTCGTCGTTTGACACTCATTGTTAATGAAAGTAGCTTAACTCAAATGGTTAAGAAAGGGATGTTAATCTCGTTTAAACATTAAGGGTAATGTTATAAGGTTCACACCCTTACTAAAGCTCACTCACAGGGGTGTATGCTAGCTTCTTCAACGTTAAAGCGTTATGTTTTTCTAGCTAACGCGTAACTACGCTAGCCATCGGCTAATTGTCTACGATAGCTGGCTGTGTAATCAACAACAAGCTAACATTAGCTCCTGAATGACGTTGCCTGGTTATTCAGTTACTAAATGTATCTGTATCCATCTAGAAGTATTTCATCACCCCTGCTTTGCTGTAAATGGATGTTAACCGTTAGCCACTAAAGCCGAAACCCACCTTTCGGTACTGGTGAATCCTCCGTCTTCACCTCTTCCTGTTCAGAGGACACACCATCGTTTTCCCGTCTTTCTCTCCGCTTTTTGGCCATTTTACAGAGATAACTTAGAGGTCAGCTGAGGTACCGAAACAGCAAAAGCCGACGGGTGGCGTGACTGACACCGGTGCGGTGACAGTCTGCTGACACGTTACACAGGATGACCTTTTACCTCACACCACAGCAACAAAAGCTGCACCATCCACTACAGCGCCCCCCTGCGTCACACTGGCCCGTTCTCATTTCATCAAATCCCCCTCCTCGACTCCTCGGCCGTGTCTCAATTCAGGGGTTTCATCCTTCGAAGGGTGCATTCGTAGACCGCATTTTTACAAGGCTTTTGATACTGTTGAACATTCCTTTTTAATGGATACTCTGACATTTCTGGGTTTTGGTGAACATTTCTGCAACATAATTAGGATGCTCTACTCGGACATTTATAGTTCTGTATCTTTGAACCCTGGAATGAGCCCTAGGTTTAAGGTTTTATGTGGTATTCGACAGGGTTGCCCTATTTCCCCCAAATTATTTATTCTGACCACCCAAGTATTAACAACGCTTATTATAAAGAATCACAAAATATTAGGCATTACCCTCTTTGACAAAGAGTTCAAAATTAGTCAATTTGCGGATGACACATCCATTTTCCTAAAGAATAAATCCATGGTAAAGGAAACTCTTAACACAATTTCAATTTTTTCAAAAGCATCAGGGTTATCTCTTAATCTTTCAAAATGTGAATTACTCCCTATCCATTCATGTGATGATTCCACTATTGACTCAATTAGAGTGGTACCTGAGGTGAAATATTTGGGAATAACATTATCTAAAAATTATATCAGGAGAGAAGATCTTAATATTTGTAACCGTATCACAGATATGAAGAAATCTCTCAGTCGTTGGTTAATTAGAGATCTTACTATTTTTGGCAGAGTTCTTCTTACTAAAGCAGAAGGTATATCTAAACTTATTTATCCATGCCACTCATGTTTTGTCTCTTCGGCTAATATAAAAAAAGCCAACTCAATTATTTTCCAATTCTTGTGGAGAAATAAAACTCACTACATTAAAAAGTCACAGCTTGTTAAAGAATATGATAAAGGCGGAATTAAAGCTTTAGACTTTGAATCAATGATTGGAACAATTAAAATAAAATGGTTGAAAGCCTTTTTGTCCCAGCCAGAATCCATGTGGTTCCATATTCCAAAGGCCATATTTAAACGTCTAGGAGGGTTTGATTTTCTTTTAAAATGTGATTTTGAGGTTAATAAGATTCCGACCAAATTGTCAAATTTTCATAAGCAGATACTTCATTATTGGAAGATGATATTTACCCACAATTTTTCTCCTCATGGATCTACGTTATGGAACAATAGAGTGATTATCATAAACAGAAAATCCTTGTTTAGGAGTGATTGGCATGAGAGGGGTATTTTGTTTGTTAGAGATTTACTAGATTGCAATGGTAAACTGCTAGATTTTTTGGCCTTTTCAACGAAATACAATATAACGTGTACTGCTAAAGATTATAACAAAATCTGTAAAGCAATTCCTGTACCACTTATTGGAATGATTCATAATACTTTACTGTACTCAAATGTTGTATCAGTTTTACCTAATTTGGAAATTATTGGCGATACTCTTAAGAATAACAAATCTATTAATGCTTCCCTGAAATCCCACATTTTTCACAATTTTAACAGAGGCTTATTTCCTCAAGTGACCGATTTAGACACTTTATCTGTAATGGAAAAAGCTCTATCTGATTTTATAAAATGGCCTATTTCCCCTAAAGCAAAAGAAACTCATTTTTAAATTGTTCATAAAATCTACCCGGTTTCTACTTTTTTAAATTCAAGATTTAAATTTGAAGTGGAACCATGTTCCTTTTGTAATTTATCTGATGAATCGTTGGAACATTTATTTTTCTCTTGCCCTTTTTCTGAATTGTTTTGGTCGAATGTGAGAGATTGGTTGTTACTTAAATTAACAAATATTCCGGCCTTCAAAATATATCACATTTTATATTATATTGATAATTTGGATTTGGTAAATATAATTATTATTTTGGGTAAATACCATTTACATTGTAGTAAATGGAGAGGAGGCAAGCCCTCCTTTCCCTGTTTCATAAATGAGTTCAAGTCCTTTTTTCTGTCCCTTAGAAAAATACAATCTTGTAACCTGTCTATAAAGATTTGCAATGACATTTCCAAATGGTTATTATTTTAAGTAAGCTTAATGCCTCTTAAATGTTTTTGTGCCTTTATGCTTTTTTCTTTCCCCCTGGCTCTTACTGGATGTATTAGTTATGTTTTTTTGTCTTATTGTGAATGAATGTCTTGAACTTATGTTGATAAGTTGATGATATCCTCACCGAGCTTTTGTATGTTTAAAAAAATGTTCAATTAAAAAAAAAAAAAAAAAAAAAAAACAAAATTCGTAGACCGCATACGTCACTTCCGCCGAAAGAAGGCTGTCCCAATTAAAAAAAAAGACGAGACTCCTCCTTCGGCCCACGACTGCAGCCTTCTTTTCCCCAATTTGAAGGATACATCTGATGTACACTCCGCGGCCTACCATATCCCAGGGTGCAATGCGCGCAGGGAAGAGTGAGTTTTTTTCAAATGAAATGGCTTCCGGTCTCCCCAGCAGAGTGGATTTAAAAGCAGCAGCAAGCGGAGGAATCACTAATAAATGTGAGTATTGGGTTTTAACTTACTTTAAATTAACTAACGTCACACACGTCAAACCCAAGGGGCATTAAAACGTACATTTTCGTTAAATAATACGGATAAATATGTGACGCTAACTAGCTAGCTGGACGTACTGCACTGTTGTTTACACTTATTTTTAATTCAATTCAGAAGTTTACTAAAGTCATACAGACATCTTGGCTCCGTTATAGATAAGTTATAATGTATATTACATAAATAGACCAAAGTGAAAACATTTAAACCGGTATAGCCTACAGTACGGTGGGATTTATAAAAGGCTACCCTGACGTGTAGCTGCTGTTGTTAGCTTTATTTATTTCTCTGACATGTTCCAATGTTTTACTGTTTATTAAACTTTGGGACAACATTACAACCTTTGTGTTCAGCTCATGCTGCTTTGAGGTAGGGCTAAAAGAAAAGCCTATTTTAAATATTTCCACCAGATTTGATCATCTTTTATTTAGGTTAAAGTGTATTTAATGTATCCTAATCCCATAATAATAACACAATCACAAATAGACAGCAGCCTTTTGCTTGATGTTAGTTTGTGCAGTGCTGTCAAAGGGATGCACGTGTGACTGTCATTTCATCTCTTTAGTTTTTTTAAAACCAGAACAGTACATCATTTTGAATGATCCTTTAGGGATTGTTTGTCTGAAATGCTTAGAGTTAAATTTTGCAATAATACTTCTGCAACCCTGTGTTTAATATGATTAATTCACTTTTTTATTTTTCTCTTGTTTTTCTCTGTAATTAGTACAATTCTGGAGAAATGGATCTGCTGGAGAAGGACCCCTAATCTGAAGAGTGCACAGTGGATCATCAGGACAGAGCTGCCATCCACCTGGACCCCCCGAGGTGCTGGAGAAAGCAAAACGGCGATCAGGAACATCCTCCACCCAGACCTCTGCTTACTGCCGTCCTACAGACTTGTGTCTTAGTTTCAGAATTAGATTTTGTATGTGTCCTTTCTTTTAATAGATATGTAACTATTATAGCTTGAGTCTGTCTGATTCCCCAAACAACTGCTTCTATATACTTGCTGCACATATAATACAAATAAACAACTCCATAAACACACTTTTGCTGATATTTGTTTTACTGCTGGTGATGTTAAATAACATGATTGATTTCCTCTGTCTCAATGATGAAAGTTATAATAATAGAAGACATGAAGCTGCAGAGAGAGGATGGATATATTCTTACCTCTACTTTGTGATAAGATGAAAATACAATATTAAATTGTAATTGTTAAACACATTGTTTATTTCATTTACTGAGGTTTTAACCATTATTTACAACATGTGTACATAAGCAGTGGAATAATAGGATATCTCTAGGTCATTAAACTGTCTTCAGTTTAATTTTATTAATACAAAAAATAGGTAATAGAAAATGTTTAATTGTGTATTTCAGCAGAGCGGGGGGTCACGCGCATGGCGCGCTAAAATTCATTTCCGGGTCACTACCGGAGGACCGAGGAGTCGAGGCGAGGGCCGTGGGTGTTTCTCAATCGCGAGTACGCTTGCTTGGTAGCACATGTCTGCCGAGCATCTTGCTTCAGAAGCGAGGCAAGAATACTTCCTGCCATTCGGAAAACAAAGGGTGTTTCTCAATCGCGAGTACGCTTGCTTGGTAGCACATGTCTGCCGAGCATCTTGCTTCAGAAACGAGTCAAGAATACTTCCTGGCATTCGGAAAACGAAGTGTGGAACACGCTAGCAAGTGTGCGTCATATGAGAGGCCCCGCCTTACATCTTCCGCCACAGATTTGGGGAAATTGGTCCGTGCGCAAAGCATTGTGGGGATTTTAAGACCGCGGAGTCTACTCATGTGCAGCCTCGATATTTCTCCAAACGGAGTACGCCGGGCTCGGTAGATTTCCAAGTATGCTGGAGATTGGAACAGTACTTCGGCGGCACTCGATGATGTAGTATGCTTGAAATAGTGGCTCTGAAGCAGCTTTACTCGCGATTGAGAAACACCCAAAGAGTGGAACAGGCTAGCAAGTGTGCAGGTGTGCGTCATATGAGAGGCCCCGCCTTACAATCCCCGTGGGTGTTTCTCAATCGCGAGTAAAAGAGCTTAAAATCAAAGATCTCAAACCTGTTAAAAATCCCACACTCCTGAGTTTTAGGTAGTAGCAAAACCTTTAATAGCAACACCATTTTTTACGCTAATAAACATTTATATCTGGCTCTTGAGGGCTCTGAAGTGAAGTGTACTTATTGCGCTAAATCTATCAATCAAAGTCAATCAAAGTTAATTTATTTAGCCCAATATCACAAATTGTACTTTTGTCTGAGGGGGCTTTAAGGTTTGTAACATATACAGTCTATGGTTTGTACAGAACATGAATACGCCGCAAATTCCCGGGCCCGTTCTCATTTCATCAAATGTCCCTCCTCGACTCCTCGACTCCTCGGTCCTCCGGTAGTGACCCGGAAATGAATTTTAGCGCGCCATGTTGA